TTCTGTGATGAAGAAGAACTTTTCCTGCTAATTTTGTATGATCTATACTTGAAGCTATTAGGGACTATTTTTGTGAGAAATCAAAATGACTGCTTTCATCACAATGAATGATATTTGACTTTAGAAAGAAAATGTAATTAACTGACTCATAGCACAATCACTCTGAATTAATCAAGAGTAGACAGACATTAATTCAGAAGGGGAAAATCCATCAAGAGCCAACCACGTTAAAGTGTAGAATCATTAATATCCATTTCACAAGACTGGATGCCATTGGCTCTTGTCAGCCAACAGCCTGGCACAATCACTTTCTCTTCTCCCTGCCGCTGGTCCATGGAAAAACACAGCTTACTGAATTTGTTTTCTAAAACTTAATGTGCTTCTCATTAAGGGGCTTTGTGGATGGGCATAATGGATTGGTTCTTAAATGAGAATTTATTAAAATAAAAAAAGCTTTTCATTAAAAGTATTTAACCTTACTGTAAACTTCTATTTTGATCAGAACTTAAACCTTTATGCCCAGCTTGACTTACTGAAATAAATACTGAGAGTTGACTACATCATTCCAGTAGTGAGGCAGCCTTTCCAACCCAGCTTTGTGGAGTAACCATGGTGTAGTTCAAAATAAACCTGGAATAAAATGCACATCCTACCACATTTCTACTATATGCCATGAGCAAATCACTTTACCTCTTTGAGTCTCAGTTCCTTCATCTGCAAGATCTGGTGACTATCTACATGCCATGGAGTTGTGAGGTTTAATTGGAATAATGCATTTAATTGCTTTGTAAACTCTAAAGTGGTATTCTAATCTTGGTTCCTGCAACATATTGGCTAGGTGGTCTTGGGTTAAAGATATGTGGTCTATAAAAGGTAAGGATAATTCCTTGTAAGATTGTTATATAAAAATGCAAAAAGGAACCAAATGGAACATGCACTTGTTACTAAGAGTAATCACTATTGTTTTTATTATTATTGTTATTAATACTATGTTTAGTAAGCCGATGGACTTCTCCAAGCCCAACGTTATCAGACTCTTAGACAGCATCAGTGGGATAATCATAATAGAAAGTATAATATACAATATAAGAAATTTTGGGCAGAAACCAAGAAAAAAAACATGGCAGGGTTTAGAGAGAGGAGCTTTCTCTGCTAAATTTGTAATTATTTGCAGCGCATACATTTACACATTTAATGTTTTTTGTGATTATTTCCAATAACCTTTGTCTTAAATATGTCTTGAGTTACAAGAGATTAGAAAGAAAGCATGTATGTTGAATAATGTCAGCTCATATTACTGAGTACTTATTATATGACAGGTGTGATATTATTATAACCCCATTTTATAAAAAATAACACAAAAACCTAAGCTCAGGGAGGCAATGAGACTGATCCAAGGTAATTCTGACTCTGTATGAGGCAAAGCTGGGGTTCGATGATTGGTCTGTCAACTAAACCATTAGCTCAAGTGGTAACTGATTTGGGGTGGTCTGCCCAACTGTCATTATGCTCAGCAAAGGACACTGACATGGTGATTCGGAACTGTGGAAGCTACAAGGCTTAACATAAGTTGAGAATAAAATGAAGGTGTAAAGAACCACCCACACTGTTGCTCTTAACAAAACATGTGCTTATTTATTAATGGAAATGCAAATGAGTTTGCTCTCTTTGGCAGGTAAAGATAATCTGATTCATAGAAATTAAGATGCTGTCCTGCTGGTTTCACAGAAGAGAGCTAAAATAGAGCTTTCAACTGCTAACACAATTGTATAAGGGAGCTAATTATTTTGGTTAAATGTCACTAATACCTAATGGGGAAAATTTCATTTTTGCTAAACATGGAAAAATATGTGACTAATAGCTGAATGACAAAGGCACTTAATCATCACTTATTAACTGGTGACTTTAAAGCCACAGCTACATCTCTTTTATTTTTTTTTATTTTAAAAAGAAACATTCCTTAACCTGGCTGGCATGGCTCAGTGATTGAGCATCGACCTATGAACCAGGAATTCATGACTCAATTGGTCCCCAGTATGGGGTGTGCAGGAAGCAGCAATCAATGATTCTCAGCATTGATGTTTCTATCTCTCTCCCAATCCTTTCCTCTCTGAAATCAATATATCTATATAATTTTTTTAAAGAAACATACCTTTAGAAATAAAGGCAGCTTTCTGTCAGAAAGGACCATGAAGAAGCCCCACAGCCTAGAGCCCTAGACTATTCTTTGTGAGTAAACAGAAGAATAGTTGGCCCTCCAAGAGCATAGAAGACATCATTGGGAATTCTCTTCTTTCTTTCCTTGCATCACCTTATATTTCCATGTGGAGAGAGTGTGATCTCACCCTCAGTTCTGCTGGACAATCTCGGGCAGGGTAAAGCATCAGAAAGGTTATTGATGACTTTGTGAAACACTGTAGCTAAAGGCTTTAGCCTATGGCTGTTGAACACTTTTGAGAAGCATGTCTGTATGTCTGTTTGGAACTGAGCTTCCCTTTTTTGAAATAACAACATTGCAGAGGTGGCCAGTGACAAGGTGAGCAGCTGCTAAGGACTTAAAGTCCACAGTATTTGCTCAAATGCATGAACGTCTGTATGCATGTGTATACGCTCAAACACGCTCCCACACAGTATGCTTGTCCTATTCCATTTATTATCATTAGATGGTATTAGCTGAACTGATTTCTTGAGGATGATCTTTCTTGCTATTGAAAACACTGGCTAGATGCTCACTGGCCCCATTTTGTCTTTGTGGGAACATAGAGAGACTACATTTCCAGTCTCTTTTGGAGTTAGATTATATGGCTAGGTTCAGGCCAAGAGAACATGGGTAGAGTGATATATGCTGCTTTCAGGTCTAGCATTAGAATGCCACCCAATTCACCTCCCAATGCCAGCACCACCCCACACCTTCCTGCCTAACCTGGATGGTGGATGACGCTAGCCTGATCTTGAAGCCTCAACATGACACAAGCATAAGATTTAAATAGCTTGAGTTCTAGCATCACCTGCCTCAACCTTCAATGGGAGTGAGAAATAAGCTTTTCTGATAAGTCACTGAGCCTGTAGAATTTATCTGACTCTACCATAGATTGCCTACTCTATCAGGAAATTGGGTAAATTATAACTGCTCCAAAATGACTGAAATATAATATGGTTTCTCAGCAATAGACTCTCTCAGGTATGTTTCTACAATTTAGAACAAGGAATAATCCTGTCTTTCATATTGAAGGGCACATTGATATTGAGTGCTGTATATGAGGAAAAAAATATATAAAGGAATGGGAATAGCTGTTTTTTGGTTATCTTATATAAAATGTCTTTGGAGTATTTTATGGAGAAGAAAAGTAAAACAAATATTCTGCTTAATAATTTTTCTAATTAGTCTTTAAGCCCAAATTTGTAGACTTTTTTTTATTAATAACTATGAAGAAACCAGCAACTATAATGTAAAATCATTTAGAAGAACATTTTAAAAGGTGTGTTTATAGCAGTTTAGTTTAAAATTAAAGGACTCATATTCAAAAAAAAAGGGTTGGATATTTCCTTTAAACAAAATTTAAAATTTACGTTAGTCATTGATATGTTAACATGTCTTATGTATCTCCAAGAGGGAATCTGTTTTATGGTGCATTAATTAAAATTATTTGACCTCTGAACAGCCCCTATCCTCTTCCAGCCCTCCTCCATCTCAGACACAAGTGGAGTGTTAGTGTTCTGAGAAATGTACTTTGGAAAGGAATGATTTCAAATCACTGCAACAGCCGTCCTCCATCTCAGACACAAGTGGAGTGTTAGTGTTCCGAGAAATGTACTTTGAAAAGGAATTATTTAGAATATTGCAAACTTATCCTATATAATAAAAGGCTAATATGCAAATTGACCGAGCGACAGAACGACCGGCTGCTATGATGTGCACTGACCACCAAGGGCAGATGCTCAACACTGGAGCTGCCCCGTGGTGGTCAGTGCACTACCACAGAGGGAGCGCTGCTCAGCCAGAAGCTGGGCTCAAGGCTGATGAGTGCAGTGGCGTGGAGGCAGAGCGGCAGCACATATCCACAGGGAGCGGGCCTAAGCCACCAGTCAGATATCCCCCAAGGGCTTCCTGATTTCAAGAGGGTGCAGGCTGGACTGAGGGACTCCCACCCTGAGTGCACGAATTTCGTGCACTGGGCCTCTAGTACCATTATAATGAACATTGGACAATATCCTAATGGGAAGGTACCAGTCTAGTCTTAATAAGAGGTAGGTGATTGGAATCATTAAACTCTTGAAACTGTCTCCAAATTTATGTTTGGAATAGGAATTGCCACAGACTATATTTAACCGCAATGGTTGGAAAATGTAAATAAAACTTTCATGTTCAATAAAACTTTCTGGTTAACTTGTTTATTCAGTGAAACTTTTCTATGGCATAGTTA